CGGAGGCGGCATCAGCTGCGTGCTGCAGGACGGCGAGGTCTTCGAGAAAGCGGGTGTGAACGTGTCCGTCGTGTCCGGGCTCCTGTCCGAGGAGGCAGCGCGGCAGATGCGAAGCAGAGGGAAGTCTCTGAAGGCCAAAGACGGTAAGGTGTGCGGCGGCGGGGAGGTGGGGTTGGGGAGAGGGGAGGCGGTCACCTCGGCGTCGCCGTGCGGGTGCTCCGAAAGCAGGGTCTGGCCTTGGGGCAGAACATGAGGGAGGCCAGGGTGGTCAGCACTCACTGGGAGATTTCGTTTTGTGTCCTGGGGGTTTCTAACCAGCGCACCTGGCAGGTGGACTTCCACATCCCTAACAAGCAAGGTATCGGAGTGCTACTCCCTCTGCCTTGCTGCTTTAGGCAATGTGCAGTAGGCAGCGGGGTTGGTTCTCATTAATGATGCTGTAGCTCAGTGTGAAACAGCACAGGAGTTACGTACCAAAGCAGTGGAGGGAGAGAACCAAAAAGACCTGAAAGCTAAATGGGATTCACCCCACGTTTGTGTAGCAGAGGGTAACTGTGAGGACTGGGGGTGGTGGAAAGCCTTAGCAGTGCCTTACGGTTTAAGTGGGCTTCATCTGTTGGGTACTCTAACACATAATTGCATTTTAGGGCAAATACCAAAAAAAGCACTTACTTAGGTGCACAGAAGCATGTGGATGAGAAGTAAACTGCACGTTGATTAATAATTATGGTGACCCAACATGAGAAATTTTCTTGTAGTGGAACCTAAGGAAAAATAGTGATGTTCCTTAAATGATTGTCAATGAAGTTACTTGAAAAACTTAAGGGTTTTTTCTGCGCATCTTTTTTATCTAGGAAAACTGCCTTTTTGCGCCATGGGCGTGAGCTCTGTTATCCATCCAAAGAACCCTCATGTTCCAACCATGCACTTCAACTACAGATACTTTGAAATTGAGGAAGCAGACGGTAAGAGCTATAATCCAGTGAAGTACGTACGAAGTGTGTGACTGTGTGGAGGAGGCGTGAACATGTGGCTAGGGTGAGAGGTGAAGAACCAGTCTGGGTTTGTTCCCAGCTGTGCCAAGAGTGTTGTGTAGCGCTGGATGTCTTGACCTCTGGGCCTCTGTCCGTTTGTAAAATCAGTGTGATGTGTGCATCTGGTATGGTAGAGGTGTTTGCCGTTTACTTTTTGCAGCGTACGACAGGGGCTTCAGACTTGAAGTGTAGAAGGTTATACATGAATGTAAAACATATTCAAAGAAGCAAGTCTAGAATTTAGTAGAAGAAAGGTCTGTGAAGGACTGATAAGCATTGTGGTGAGGATGGAGTTTTGTCTCAGAAGCTGGGAGGACGTACTCTCAGAAACGTCGCTCTCTGTGAACTATGTCTTTTTTCCCGGAGCTTCTGCAACTGGTCGCTGTCAGAAGCAGGACTGTAGGCGAGGTGGTCTCACGCTGAGAGCCCATCTGTACCTCGTGACAGTGTACGTACTGTCACAAGCTCAAAGACAGTTTTCTTTCAATTATTTTGCCAGAGCATTATGAATCATTTCTAGTCAATTAATTCCCTGGATTTAATAATGATGTTCCCTTTCTTTGGCACGCAGTAAAATGTTTCTGGATTCTTGAATAGGAGTTGCCAGCACATCCTGTGAAATTGATATCCTGTAGTCAGGGTCAGTGCTCCAAAATAATGATCAAATGGTATTTACTGCTTTGAAATTTGTTTCATGTCTTCCTGAAGTCACTGGTCATCGCTCTGCCTTGAATTCAAATTTTTCATGATTGATGTTTAGGAACACCATTGCATAATGATTTTGTGTTGTATTGTAAATGTAGTTGTTAGTTCTTGGTGAATCACTAATAACATATTTCTGTTTGGAAGTTTACACGAAAAGTGTTGCTGCTTGCCTTTCTCCTATAGGAACTAAACAGTGGTGGTTTGGTGGTGGGACTGACCTCACTCCAACTTACCTAAATGAAGAAGATGCTGTTCATTTTCACAAGACTCTGAAAGAAGCTTGTGACAAGCACGATCTGAAGCTGTATCCCAAGTACAAGAAATGGTACGTGAGGAGAGATGCGCTTGGGTTCCTTCTATGGGAGTCAAAGGCGGCACTGGATATCGCCAGTTGTCTATTCTAGGAACATTAGGTTCTGCTCTGCCTTTTGATAAATATCAGGAGACCCTAATGAAAATTAGCACATGTGTACTGGGACAGAATGTAGTCTAAAGCAATCTCTTATTTACAGAGGCCTGAGTTTTTCAAATAAGAGGGCTGACAGCTAGGATCATAAATCTATGGTGTAAATAAAAGCCAAGCTGACTCTACAAGACTTTGTAAGCCACAGACCTCACTAGGCAACTCAAATTCCTTTTAGCCTCTGGCATTAAACTAGAACAAGACTTTTGCCTCATGGACTTGCGACAAATCTCCTTACAGTGAGCTCATGGTAAATGTGCATGGCTTTAGTGTGAGCTTTTGGGCCAGTGCTGTAGTTCTGAAAACCGCACTCTGGTTTTGCTGCCTTCAGTTTGACCTTCATTAATTTTATTTTTTTTCTTTCCAGGTAGGTAAAAGAGCTTGTTCTTAATATAGAAGCTTCATAATTTTGATAGCGCTGTACTTTTTTTCCAGTAACACATTCACTGAGGGTTCAACAACATATTCTCTAAAGATGCAAATTTTGAATGCTCTTCTTGAGCTGAACGATACAGGTGATGGGATCCTTCACTGTCCAGTGGGGGCTTGCTGCTCTGTGCCTGATAATCCTATCTGCTACAAGCTGTGGTACCCAGGAAGGAGGGGTTACCCTTTTGTAAGCTACCGGGTCTTGTTTGAGGACAGGAGATAAAGCGGGTGTTGTAGCTTGGGTGTGAACCACTTAGGAGAGAAGCATATCTTACACAACCTTAAGACTACAGCCTTAATCTGTGAGGACTTTTTGTGTGGTAGTTCAGAGTGTCTGCCTTAATGGTCAGGTTGTTTGCAGCCTAAGCAGGCTAGCAGTGCCAGCTGCAGGGGGTTGGAGAGAAGGATGCCAGTTCTTAGTCTGAGAGGAGCTCAAGGGAGGACTAATTGTATCTCACGGCCAAAGGCAGATTTCTCAGTCCCAGCATGAGTGTTTGCTGTAAGCAGCAGCTGTTACGGGGCATGCAATTCTCACTGCCAGAGCAGTCTGAATCTCCTTTGAGCTTTACTAATAGCATTGCCCATTTTCCCACCTTTCTCAAGCATAAAAGCTCTTGTTACGTTTACCACACTGTCTTCCTTATCTAGCTTTAAGACTTTTGTCAGGCTTGTTCTCTTTTTCATTTCTGACTCAGTCTTTTTCCTAACTCTTCCTGCTGCTATAAAAAAAAACCCCAAAAAGCTGATCATCCCAGTGAATAAAACAATGGCTTAGGTTACCTGTTACATCTCCCCTGCTGTGGCCATGCCATTTATATTGCGTGAAAACAGCTACTGTGGAGGGATACATGCATGAGAAACTAGTCCTAAGGGAAGGCAGGGTTTCCTTGCTGTTGATGGTTTCTGCTTCCTACTTCCCTTCCATTTCTCCCCCATGTGAATCCTTGCAGGGCATGGCTGCCCAAGCAAGCAACTGTAAGCAAGATACAATGTGGATACAATGAATCAGCTAATTTATAGTAATTGCACACCTACACGCTCCCAGTGAATACAAAAGAGATTAACTGCCTCCCTATTGTAGGATAAGCTGCACTCACTCCTTGATAAACTTGAACATGAGCCATGAGCAGCCACTGCTGGAATGGCTCCATCTTCCAAGTTTAACTGTTAAAAACCCTCTTTCCAAGGAAGGCTGCCTCACTTCTGATTTTTCCTTAAGTGACAGTGGCTTTCTTATCTGGTCTTGGGTTTTTAGATTTCTTTTAGTTTTGATGCAGAAAATCAAATCTTTCACTAGAATGGCAAAAAGAATGAAGAGATTCTCTTCCAAGTTTATTTTGAGTTCATGTGAAAGCTGTACAAATATTTTGGGGTCTATATATAATTCTGGGAATGAAATCTAGAAAGAGCTCTTAGGGTGACGTTTTGAAATCGAGTGTCCCTCCTCCTCATGGGTAGAGGATATGGATTAGATCACTCCACATGGAAGCATCTGCCATGATGTTTGAGTGTTACCCATGTTCAGTGACTTTCGTGATACGTAGCTTTGCAGAGACCGTTTAATCAGAGCTTTTACTGTAAGTGAACGCAGGAGGAACGCTTTCCAGATGGTGCTGTATCATCCTGGCTCTCTGCAGTCATTGGAACAGTGGGGTACCCAGCACTGCAGGAACTGACTTCTCATCAGTATTTCACTAGTGCCCTCCTGTGCTGTGTAGCTCTTCAGAGTTTTGTTTGTTTCTTTGAGTATTGTGGACCATATTAATAATTGTCTGCTACCTCTTCTAGGTGCGATGACTACTTCTATATCAAGCACCGTGGTGAGCGAAGAGGGATTGGAGGCATATTCTTTGATGACATGGACTCTCCGTCCAAGGAGGAAGTATTCCAGTTTGTGAAGAGTTGTGCCAAAGCTGTTGTGCCTTGTTACATTCCCATTGTGAAAAGGCACTGCCATGACTCCTTCACACCAGAGGAAAAGCTGTGGCAGCAGCTTCGGAGAGGACGGTGAGTACTGAAGGAGCAGAAGAATTACATGGGAGGTGGATTACGCTGATGAGAGAAAAATGAGCTAGTTCTTTATGGCTGCAGGATTTATGTCCTGTTGTGCATTTTATGTCCTGCTATAGTGTGGGCTAAGTTTGCATAAGTGCTCTAAAGCTTGCCAGAGAATTTCAACGTTTTTGTGTACAGAGCTATTTTGAAATCAAATGCCAGGGAGGGTGCAAGGAAGGTACTAGCACACCCTCATCCATATCCTCCACTCTCCCATGTTGCAGCACAAAGCAACCCATCCAAAATGCCACAGTTTCTTTCCAGCTCCTTCAAAAACCAAGAGGAGCTTGGTAACAGGTAAAGGGGGGGTGTGTGTGCTTGGTGTCCTGAATCAGCCCTCTCCTGCAGCCCAGTGATACAGGTAATAGGATAATAAGGCTGCCTGGTGACACAAGGAGCATAAGGGTGAGGGAGTCACACTTCCTATTCAGTAATGAAGCTAAACCCCAGAGTCATGGAATAACTGTACCCAAGAGTACTTTCAGCTTCTTACAAGCGTATTTATTCCGTCTGATCTTGGCATTGAAATGAGTACACAGTGAAGTCTTTGTAAAGGAACAAAGATAGAGAGGGGTTTTGTTTTTCTAGCATGGTCCAAAGTCACTGTAACTTAAAAGGCTGGAGGATGCTTATTAGTGTGAACAACTGTTAATGCTGCAAAAACTGAAGTAAATTGGTAGATACAGCTGTTGTACTCTTTTCTCTATGTCCTTTGATGTGTAAGCATATGGAGAAATGAGAATACGTGTGCTTTGTGCAGAACTGGGAAGTGTCTAGTTTCTCCCTCTTCTGCAGAGAAATTTGTGAGCATGGCATAGAGCAGGGCACAAGCATTCAAGTTTAGATCACTGGTCTGCAGCAGTTACTGAAATAATAGGATATATGCTTAATTTGGTGGGACTGTTCCTGGGAGCGTTGGGCTTTCAGGATCCAGTCTGTGGATGGGATTTAGCAAACCTGCTAAGGTTATAAGGGGGAATAGCTTCTTTAAACTGCAGCCAGGACAAACTGATGAGGCCTGGTTATTTCCCTGGATCTGTTTGCAGGTTAATGGGCTAGGCAAAGCTCTCTGTTTCTGCAAACAGATAAGAGCTCCTCCCTTCCTGTACCTCCATTAAGGACTAATACGTCAGTACTGGTTATTAAGATAACCCCTGCTGAATTGTCACTGCTCTGTTCCTATGATGGGGGCAGAAAACCATCCATTCCAGCACTTAGAAGTCTCAGGCAGCACTCTGAAGCTGTCTGACTTCTGCTGCTTTCCATATCTCCCCAAGAAGCAGAAAATCTTGTTCTGACCTTGCTGCTTATGTGTCCTTCAGCATGGAGAACTGCACAGTAGGGCTTTTCCTGTGGTCATTTCCAGTTCCTTTAAGGCTCCTTTTAATATCTGACACCACCTCACAAGACTACTAGCATAATGAAGCTAAACTTGGTGTGAAGCTTGCCAGCAGGGTTGAGGCCTAGGATAAATAAGCTAGTATAGCACCATGCAGAACTCTCCTTGAATAGTTTCCCTGCTCTTGTCTGTTAGCTAAGGTCATTACTTCCTGTGCTTTGTGGAGTGGCAAAGTCGCACTCGCATTCCTATGCAGAGGATGCGAGGGAATAGTTGGCCCTAGAACAGGGTTCATTCTGACACCTAACACAGCAGAAAGACAAGCTGGTTTTGTTTGGCGTCTGCTAGTCGAAGAAGGCACAAATAATTTCTGATAATAAAGTTGGTTTTCTGTTGCATCTCTTCACTCCTCATAGGTACGTAGAGTTCAACTTGGTTTATGACAGAGGTACAAAGTTTGGCCTCCTGACACCAGGATCAAGAATTGAAAGCATTCTTATGTCTCTGCCACTGACTGCAAGGTAAGGGCATAATTATGTGGGCTTACAGGTAGGCACTGTTCTTGCTAAAATACTTTATAGGATTCAATCAAAGGTCTGTCCTGGTGTGCAGTCTCTTAACAGGGGTTAGTTCATGCCTGGCCAAATACATGGAGATGCTTCTCTGGTCTGCTATACTTGCCCAGTTGCCAGTAATGTGTGGCCTAGATATTTCCTGATTTTAAAAACTGGTATTTTTTGTGCTTAGTTTCTCTTGATAGATTTCCCCTCCTCACTCCGTGGGTTTTTTGATTAGTAGCTCTTTGAAACTATGTGAGCTTCCGGCAGTCCAGACAAGCCTGTGGTAAGGAGTTCCACAGTTTAACTGTGTGTTGTATAAAAAAAGTGCCTCTGTTTTCTACTTGCATCTGATGACTTCATTCTACCTTTAAGTGAGTAATCAGATTTTCTTCCCGTTCATTTTCTCCATAACAGTTCTTATTTTACAGGCTTCTGTTCTTTTCATTGTCTGCTTTCCAGGCTGACAAGTCCCCCTCTTCTTAGTCTTTGTACAGTAGCTGTTCCATACCTTTGATCACATTTGCCACTTTTCTCTAGGCTTAAGTTTTTTATGCCCTTTCTGAACTGGGGATAAGGAACAGACAACATGATCTACGTATGTATATCCAAGATGCGGGTGTGCTCCTGAATCATACAGTGGCATAATGATGTTTTAGTTCATTATTCCTTTCATAATCCTACTATGCTGTTTGCTAGTTTTGACTGCTGCTAAGCACTGAGGTGGCTTTTTCATAGAAGTGTTATGATGCCAAGATCATTTCTGGGCAATAAAAGTTAACTCAGTCTCTCAGCGTGTATGTAACTTATTTTCTGTGTGCATCACTTTAGATCAATCTACAGTGAATTTCACCTCCATTTTATTGCTCAGTTGCTTGGCTCAATATTAACTCTTTTCAACTGCCTTTTTAGGTTAAAACCTATCTTACTTAATCTTGCAATATCAGCAAACTGTCATTTACTGTTTGTGCCCCTTTTTAGGTTGCTTTTAGATATGCTTAGTAGCACAGGCCCTATGATGAATTTTGTAAGACTCCATTAGTGACCTCCCTCTGCTAGGATAACTGACCTTTGCCCGCTACCCCTTAACTGTGAAGGCAGTCCTGATCTCACCATATAGCTTCATCCTGCTGCCAACACCAAATGTGTCCCCTGCCTGGCGGCATAGCACAGTCCTAGCTTTCAATTTCATTGCTGGGATCATCTGGTTTCGCTTGTTTCCATCAATGTAAATAGCTTGCTTCACAGCAAGAATGGGTCCTTTCTGGGGAAAAGAAATGACAAAAGGTTGTATCCATCCCTTTGTGACCACTGATACTTTTCTTCCTCTGTCATGCCTCTTAATTGCCTATTCAATAAAAAGTGGTTTCTCATCAACTTTATTTTTAAAACCAAGATTCAACAAGGACTTGTAGCGCTTCCAGTCCAGCTTCTCAAAAAACTTGACCTGGGTGGCTGAAAATACTGCGTCAGGATCAAATGATAAAATTTGAAGCTGGCAATTTCCCTCAGGTCTCACATCCTCACTCTCTCTTCTCTGCATTCTTTTTTGGCACATCTTCCTTGTGATACTAATGTGTCACAAGAGACTGCTAAAAGATGTTTGTAAATAAACTTGCATGGATTGTGGGATAGAGAGCATTGCTTTTTCTTTTTTCCTTGTTCTTCCAGCCTTTCCAGAAAATTGGGAAAAAGATCAAGCTAACGTTTCTCCCATCTCTTCCAGTGTTATTATTTGTTTTTACTGAATTTGATTTCTAGCTGTATCAGTTACCTGATTGGAGAGTATCAACTGTGTATATAGCTTTGCATTCTCAGAAAAAGTCAACTCAAGTCCAAACACATCCTGGTGCGGGAGAGGTGGCAGCCGGCTGGGCAGTCTGAGTGAGTTTCCCCTCTCCCTGCAGGTGGGAGTACATGCACACCCCTCCAGAGAGCTCGAAAGAAGCAGAAATTCTGGAGGTTCTGCGCAATCCCAAAGACTGGGTGCACTGACACGGATCGTGAACAAGATGGATTGCTTACACTGAGCCATTATGAAAGAACAGGAACGCCTGCAAACCAGCTCATTCAAACTGATGTTGCATGGCGTTTTAGTATACCTATTTATACTCTTACCTGGTGCCTTAATAATGCTGTAGACTTGTTATAACTTGCAAATGTGTGAACTCATTCTTTAAGATTGATCAGCTAATGTTATCAGCCCCTGTTGATGTTGCCTTGTGAAGGACTGGTTATTCCCTCACAGGACTACTATGCATGCTTAAGAACTTCCTCAACTGATTTGTATGACTACAAAATCGTAAACTACCGTGAAGTGTTCTCCCTGTGGAATGAAAGCATTATCTGTGCCTAAATAGCACTGCTTACTCTTGGAAAATGATGGGATGTTTTAGAAATATTTTTTTTTTAAAGAATAAAGGGAATATTTGATATGCTTTTAAACCTTAAACTCTGCTTTCAGAAAGTTGTGAAAAAGGTGGTTCGTAACCATGTGTATTTTGACACTATTCACATTGACTTTAGGGGGGAGGAAGTGTTTTAAGATGTGCTGCAGTAGTGTGACTTGACTGATCAGTAAATGGGCGATTCTGGGTTGAGGTCCTGTCTAGCCTAGGGCGAGCCAAAGGCTGGCTGTCAGTTTTGAGGAGGAACTCTCAGTGCTGCACATCTCAGCTGTGATCAAGGCACCATAGCTGCCCTGGCTATCATGGCTCCTTTGCCAGGGAGGTCGGGGGCAAATGAGATCAGGGTGTTGACCGGAGGTTCTCCCAAGATCACTTCACGCTGCTTATAGCCCTGAGTAGTCTGCCTTTTTTTTTCCCCGGCACGAACCTCATTGAAAACACCCTGGGGAAAAGGAAGGGGGGGTCCCATTCTCCCCCCAGACAAAAAGGCATCTCCTCCCCGTCGGGGAATCGAACCCCGGTCTCCCGCGTGACAGGCGGGGATACTCACCACTATACTAACGAGGAGTGAGGTGGTGCTGAATTGGCTTCTTCTCATGACGTAGAACAACGTCACCTCCGGCAGGTTTCTGGCCCTAGCAGCTGCTGGCTGCGTGTGCACGGTGGGGAGAGGCGCCCTGCCGGGCCGGCTCACACTTGCTGCCATCCCATCGCCGAAGTCAAGCTTCCCCTTACGGGCTACCGTGTTCATTTTCGTGTTATACTTCCTCCTATAAAATACAATAAAATATCGAAAAAAGCACATACAGTAGAAGCACATACACTCCTCCCAGGTGGAAAACATAACTGGCCCGTACGGGGATCGAACCCGCGACCTTGGCGTTATTAGCACCACGCTCTAACCAACTGAGCTAACCGGCCGGTTCGAGAAAACCCTCCCGCGTGCACACAGCTCAGGCACTCCCAAGGACACGCCGCGGGTGGAACCTCTGCCGGCTGCTGCTCCCGCGCCCGCTCTTTTTAAAGACCGCGTCGGGGAGTCGTTTCCGGGAGGGAGCTGTGGCACAGCAGCACGAGCGTTAACCGGCGTGACGGGAATTGCTAAAATGGAGACTTTTAAAACTGGAGGTTTTTTTGCGCGCACGCGTTACCAGCGGTACGGAGCGAAGGCTCGGCAGGGCCGCACGCGGATACGCGCCTCCCGGCGGGCGTGAGTGGGGGAGAGGCGGGCGCAGCCCCCCAACGCCTCCCCCTTCCGCTCCCC